TTTTTTTTTTGCAGAAGAGCAAAACAGTGAAGAAAGTGAGAAAAGGAGAAAAAAGAAAAAGGGAACCAAGAGGAAACGAGATGGAAGGGGCCAAGAGCAAGCGAGCTTGGCATGTGACCTGAAACTGGATGACATGCTTGACCGAACCTTAGAGGATGGCGCCAAGCAGCACAACCTGACAGCTGTCAATGTGCGAAACATCCTGCATGTGAGTGAGACGAGGGTGGTGACCTCCAGTGCAGATTTCCCATGGGATGCAAATAAGAATTCTTAGCACATTCTTCATTCTTGGTATATGTATTATCAAAACACGCTCCTCCAGATAGCTTTCCCTCACCGAGTATGGTGGTGCACACCCATAGTCCCAGCACTTGGGAGGCTGAGGCAGGAGGATCGCCATGAATTTGAGGCCAGCCTGAACTGTATATCAAGACTCCATGTTAAAAAAATAAAAACAGAGGGCCTGGGTTTAGATCAGTGGTTCCACTGCCTGTCACAAGCTAAAACACCCAAGTTTGATCCAGGTACCAAAACAAACGTGGAGAAATTTGAAACAAATAAATAACAACAAAAAAGCAAAATCAAGATAGCTTTCTCTTTACACTCAACACAAGTGTGAAATCCAGCTGGGTGTGGTAGTGCACGTCTGTAATCCCAGCACTGGGAGGGTTGAGGTAAGAGTATCAGCTGGAGCTCATGGTGATCCTCGTGCCTGCCTTATTACTCCTTCTCCTAAGCATATACTTAGTTATCTTAGGATGCCCTTTTGTTCTAGTTTCTAATAGCATCTAATAAAATGGGTCCAGGGCCAGGGCCTTAGCTCAGCGATTCCGCTGACTGCCTCGCAAGTGCAAGGTCCCAAGTTTGATCCCCCGTACAAAAAAAAAACAAACAAAAAACTAACAACCCCCACTCCCAAAACCTCAATAACTAAAATTTTAAAATTGGTCCACTTGCTGCTGTATTATTTAAAGTTGCATGCTTCTGTCCACATCTTGCCTTTTTTTTTGGTATTTGGTTGTTTTCCTTACTGCAGTCTGAAGCTGCTGAGTCCAACCTTCATTTATCCTCCATATTGGTGTATGGTAGAGTTTCAGAGATGACTGTTAGCTAGATGACAAGCTTTCTCTGGCATAAAGTGGAATTTTATCTTTTTTCCAGGAAGTAATAACAAATGAACATGTGGTGGCTATGATGAAAGCAGCTATCAGTGAGACTGAAGACATGCCAATGTTTGTGAGTAGTTGATTGTCACTTTTAGTATTGGGGCGGGATTATCCATGAAATGGCTGATAACAGGAGGTCACTTTGGAGTTTAACGATGGTGGGGGGGCAAAGTTAGCATCTCCAAACCCAAGAATCAATGGCAGTTTTTATTGACTCTTCTCTCTCTGTCCCTCCTAGGAGCCCAAAATGACACGCTCCAAACTGAAGGAAGTGGTGGAGAAGGGAGTGGTAAGTGGTGTAGGTTTTTCTTGGTATTTTTAGCTTAGTAGGTAGGATTTAATTCTAGGCTATTCATAGGGAGAAAATATAGGAAAATTTTTACTCTAGGTTTTGTTTTTAAAGAATTATTTGTAAGCCATGTGTGGTAGCATATACCTGTAATCCCAGCACTGGGGCTAAGGCCAGAGGATTGCAGTTTTGAGTCCTGCCTTTGTAATTTAGTGAGATCCTGTTTGAAAATAAAATAGTGGGGATGTAGCTGAGTGCGAAGGGCCAGGATTCATTCCCATTCCCCCCACCACACGCACACAGACACACACACAGAAACAGCAGTGAGAAACAGGTGGGAAGGGACTACACCTGAATTACATCAAACTCTACCCTGTACCGGGTCTCCATACACAAAGTGTTCAGAACACAGCAGGCCCAAAATGGGACATCCTAAGGCTTGTGAGAGACAGATCTTGCGGGCTAGTTGTCTTTTGTTGTAAGATGATTTCGATTCTGTCACAATTAATGCACAAGAAATTCTGTATCCTTAGTGATATCTTACTAGCAGTATGTAAGAGCTTTTAAAATATTCTTTAAAAAGTTTCCAAGCTGGGAATGGTGACACACGCCTGTGATTCCAGCACACAGGAGGCTGAGGCAGGATTGCTGTGAGTTTGAGACCAGTCTGGGTTACATAGTGAATGCCAGGCCAGTCTGAACTATAGACTGATACAACAGAAAACAAAAACACTAAGCTAAATGAAAACTAAACTGAATATTATAATCAGTCTAGTTTCCAAGAGTAACATTTTATCATATTTGCTTTATATATGTCTACATCTGTATTGTTTTTTCCTATACTGTTTAGAAGTAAGTGTGGACAACATGACACTTTTCCATTAATACCTCTGTAAGAGCTTCTTGTGGTTGATGTTTGGAGGTATGCCGATAGTGGATTTATGTAATTGTTTAAGAAAACCCACTGTTATGTCTCGGTGGTAGTGTGTTTGCCAGGCATACATGAAGTCCGGGTTTTGATCCCCAGCCCTGACAAAGAGTAATGATATCAAAAGGCTAACGTAGCTACAAAATCTTAGGTTTGTGTAGTTATGTAGTTTATAAATTACAAGTAGTTTTCATACCCATTGTTCCATGTGAACCTTTGCTGTGATCTAAAGTAGGCAAGACAGGCTTTTTTTCCTCCTTTATAGATTAAAGTGAATAAAGTGAATCTTTTTTTTGTGTTTGTGCTTTTGGTACTTGGGATCAAACTCGGGGCCCTTGCACTCGTGAGGCAGGCGCTGGAACCATTGAGCTAAATCCCGGCCCTAAAGTGAATTTTAATAGGTCTGAGTTAAGTCAAATTTTGACGAATCTTTGAGAGTCTCCTCAGTACTAGGCATTTAGGTACTTGTCAGGTAGATGGCTCTTTGTGAGGGAGAAGAGGTAGTAAAAATGCATGACGATAAATTTCAGCTAATTGTATACTTTCTTTCTTTTTTTTTTGGTGCCGGGGATCTAACTGGGGTCCTTGTGCTTGCAAGGCAGGTGGCGGAACCACTAAGCTACATCCCCAGCTGTGTACTTTCTTTTTGATAGGTAATTCCAACATGGAATATTTCTCCAATTAAGAAGGCAAATGAAATTAAGGTAAAATCAGAAGAAGTTGTCCTTCTTTTCCAGAGAAACTTCATCAGCTTTGAAATCTAAGTACTTCCCTTCTACTTTTTCGACCTATCTTTTTAATTCCCACTTTTGTTTGTTTTCTGTTCTCTTATTCTTTGGTTTGTGTATCAGAATCATTTAGTCTAATCGCTGCTTTGAGTTTTTTGGTCTAGCTGCACGTTATGCTCTTAGGAATTGTTTTTCTGCCTTGCTTTGTTCCCTTGATTTCCAAATACAGGTAGTTTTGCCTTTCAAATACTGCACTTCTTTCTCTTTTCTTCTATTTTCTCCTTTTCTTATTTTGGTGTTGCTAAGCACATGCTCTGCCGCTGGGCCACACCCCCAACCCTGCTCCTTTCTGACTGTGCCGATGCAGCCTCCGCAGTTTGTGGATATCCACCTGGAAGAAGACGACTCCTCAGATGAAGAGTACCAGCCGGATGAGGAAGAGGAGGACGAGACTGCCGAAGAGGTCGGTGACTGGGATGCTCATGGCTCTAGTTAGTAGGGCAGAGTACACTTCGCTTCGTTAGTATTGGCTTGCATTTTATACAGAGTATCGAAGCGTAGTTTTTAAAAATCATTTCTTTGATGTAAGGTGTTTTTCTGTTCTTTTATTTCTCAGTTTTGCAGCTTATATTAAATTATAATCAGCATACAGATGTGTACAGAATGAAATAGATGCAGTTGAAGTAATTGTAATATTGTGAATCCCCATGAAACTTCTTCCAAAGTCAAGAAATGTAACATTGCCAGGACAAACCCAGTATGCCCTTCCCAGTTAGTTTCACCTCCCTCCCTCTAAAGCTAATCACTACCCTGCCTTTTTAAAAAAATTAATTCCTTGCTTGTTTTTCCTTATAGTTGCATCACCTGAATGTGTGTCTCTGTGCACTGTAGTTCACTTTTTACTGTTTAGAAACTTCATTTAAATGGATGTATGGTGTATGTATTCTTTTCTTTCTGGCTTTTGTTTTTGTTATTATGCCTTTCAGATTCATACATATTGTTGCTTATAGCCATGTTTTATTCATTTTTATCACTGTGTTAATATATTGTTTGATTTTTGGTGTTTTCTTTGAGTAATTTGTAAGAGGATTTTAAGCCAGTGCCTTCCTTACACTTTTATAGACAGTATGATCAGATGAGGATACTGAGCCTATCTCTACCCCCCTGAATATTAAGCCATTTAAATTTTATTTCCTTTCTCTGATTGAGTGATTAGTATTTTGTGATTCAATCTCATGCTCCTTCAGACTCAGTGGCTTGAGTCAGGGACACACGTGTGAACTGGGTGTTTTCCAGAGCTTATTGGAGAGTGATGTTGAAAGCACTGCATCATCTCCGCGTGGGGCAAAGAAGTCCAGATTGAAGCAGTCTTCTGAGATGACAGAAACGGACGAAGAGAGCGGCATATTATTAGAGGTAAATCAGCCGCTTGTGAAAGAGATGGAGTAGACACAGGTATATAAGTAGATCATTCAAGTGATACGTAGATGATATGTTTGTAGTGATTCTGACCTCTTCACCCCTTTTCAAAGTTTCTTGCCTCATTGAATAGTTAGGTGAAGACTGGCTCGGTATGGTGGTACACACTTGTAATCCTAGCACTCAGGAAGGAGGCAGGAAAATCACTGAGTTTGAGGCCAATCTGGACTGGCCTCAAGGCCAGCCTCAGGTACATAGCATGACCCTGTCTCAAAAGAAAAAGAGAAGTCTGGGGCCTAGTGATAGGGGAAAACTATTCTCAGTTCTCATAAAGGGGCTAGAAATATGTAGCTGGCAGTTTCTTCCGCCTGCCTTTTTTTCTCTCATACCTATTGTCCTTAAAGACATTTTTATTAGATTCTTTTTTTGGGAGGGGATTTGAGTTGTTTACCCTTTGTAGCTCAGGCTGGCCCTGAACTCACTAGCCCTGGCTGACTTGGAACTCATGGTGATCCTCCTGCCTCAGCATCCTAACTTCTGGGATTGTAGGTGTGTGCCACCATGTTTGGCTCTTTATTAGATTCTTACTTGGTGTTCTTTGTTTTTTCGGCTTTTTTTTTTTTTTTTTTTTTTTTTTTTTTTGGTGGTACTAGATTGAACCTAGAGCCTTTGCCATAAGCTACGTTTCTAGCCCCCACCCCCCTTTTTTCTTGAGACAGGGTCTCACTATGTAGTAAGACTGACCTGGAACTCAACTATGTAGCCCAGGCTGGTATCAACTCACAGTGATCCTCCTGCCTCAGCTTCCCGAGTGCTGGGATTACAGGCATGCGCCACCACACCCGGCTCTCTAGCCCATTTTTACAGTCTAAATTTTGAGACAGGGTCTTGCTATACTGTTCAGGTTAGGCCTGAACGTATGATCCTCCCGCCTTAGTGTCCCGGAAGAATTCCTACTTCCTGGTAACCCAGGTAGTACTGTGTTGGCTTCACTGGACACAGCATGAAACCACATTAGATCTATGTACTTGACAGTACCTTTGTTTTCCTTTACCTCTATCTAGATGTGAAGAAGAAGGTTCAGTAGCATTGGGGACTCTGCCTCTTTCTCTCCTTCTTCCTTCCTTCTCCTTTTCTCTCTGCTCTTTCATTTCTTCATTAACAAAATTGTCTCTCTTAATCAGGCTGAGAAAGTCACCACCCCGGCCATCAGGCACATTAGTGCTGAGGTGGTGCCCATGGGGCCTCCACCCCCTCCGAAGCCAAAGCAGACCAAGGATAGCACCTTTATGGAGAAGTTGCATGCTGTAGATGAGGAGCTGGCTTCCAGTCCAGTCTGTATGGATGCTTTCCAGGTAAGCGTCGTCATCCAGTCACCGAAGAAGTAAAAGGCAGTAATGTAGTTGGTGCTTATGTTGGGGGGAGTAATTAATTTTTATATAGTAAGAGCATGATATACTTTTTGATACTTTTATTTGTGCCATTTTCTCGTACATGAGAATGGTAATTTCTTTCTTTTCTTTTTTTTTAATTATTATTTTTTTGTGGTACTGGTGATCAAACTCAGGACCTTGTGCTTGCGAGGCAGGCGTGGTGCCACTGAGCTAAATTCCCGGGTCTTGCTGTGTAGTTCTGTCTGCTGGCCTTGAACTTACTGTGTAGTCCAGGCTGGCCTGGGACTTCAGTGATCTTTCTGCCTCAGCCTTCCCAGTGCCGGGATTATAGCTATGTGCCACCACACATGGCCTCTTTTCTCTTTTAGAATACAGTAATCTTATTTAATCTGCTGAACTTGGATTTGCTGGCTGTCCTAATGACACCCGTTACAATAAAGACAAGTTTTTTCTGACCCAAGATCTGTTCTAGGGTTACATGTGTATTTTGCTTCTTGCCCTCAGTTTCCTTAATCTGGAAATTTCTCAGGCTTTTTTTGGTCTTTCATGACCTTTGTGTTTCTGTAGATTATAGGACAATTATTTGTAGAACGTTATTCAATTTGATTCTTCTGGCATTTGCTTGTAATCACATCAGCTTTGTGCATTCTTCACGTGTACTGCAGAAGTGCTGCGTCCCAGTGCATCATAGCAGGAGCACCCATGTCTGTCACATCAGCACCAATCATTTGGCCAATGTGTCTGCTTCCTTTCCGTACCTCAAAGTTACTCTTTTCCATTTTTAATTAGTATCTCATAAGAGGCCAGGGATGTAGCTCAGTGGCACCATACCTGCCTTGCAAATGCAAGGTCCTAAGTTTAATCCTTGGTACCAAAAAAAAAATTCAGTATCTAATAGGAATATCATTTGTTTGTTTGTTTGTTTATTTATTTATTTATTTGAGACAGGGTCTCTGTATAGTCGAGACTGACCTGGAACTCACTATGTAGCCCAGGCTGGTCTTGAACTCACACAAATCCTCCTGCCTCAGCCTCCCAAGTGCTGGGATTTCAGGCGTGTGCTTTATTTGAGGCAAATACCTTTTTACTTTCTAGTTTTAGTTGCCTGAAACAGTTGTTACTATGGTTATCATCAAATGATGACTTTATTTGTTTATTTATTTATTTTTTGGTACTGGGGATTGAACTTTGGACCTCATGCTTCTCAGGCCCATTTACATTACAGCCAATTGATTTTTCTGCCTTTTTTTTTTTTTTTGGTGACAAGGCTCAAATTTGGGACCTTGCGGTTGTGAGGCAGGCAGCGGCACCACTGAGCTAAATCTCTAGCCCCACAGCCAAATGATTTTTGACAAGTATATAAATATCCATTAGGGGCGGGGGATTTAGCTCAGTGGTGCCCATATTGGATCCCCAGTACCCCCAAAAAAATCCATTAACGGGGAAAGGATAATCTTTCAGCAGATAATTGTAGAACAGCCGAAAGCCCAAATGTAAAAGAATGAAGCTAGCTCTTACTTTGCATCACTTCAAATTAACTCAAAGTGTATCATCAGGATTGGCAGTCTAGATCAGAAGCTGTGTCCGGTGTCTGCCTCACAAGTGCAAAGACCCAAGCTCCATCCGCAGTACCAAAAAAGAAAAAGAAGAAGCAGAGCTCTTGCTTAGCATGTGTGAGGCCTGCGTTCATTCCCTGATACTTTTTTTTTTTTAATTTTTTTTTTTTTGTTTGTTTTTGAGACAGGGTCTCACTATGTAGTTGAAACTGACCTGGAGCTCACTGTGTAGCCCAGGGTGGTCTCGAATTTACAGCAATCCTCCTGCTTCAGCCTCCCGAGTGCTGGGATTACAGGTGCGTGCCACCATGCCTGGCTATTCCCTGATACTTTAATTTAAAAAAAAAGAAAAGTCACCAACCTAAATTTAAGGACTAAATAACTTCTTTTTTTTTTTAATTTTTTTTTCTTTTTATTGAGCTTATTGGTTCAATCTAGGTATACAATACAATTACATTCATCATTGGGATTCTGTACCTTTACATAATAGGTCTTGATTCTCATTTTTTCCCCTTGAAGGACTAAATAACTTTGAAGAAAACACAGGAAATAAGTCTTTTTTTTGGTTTTTGAGACAGGGTCTCACTATGTAGTTGAGACTGACCTGGAACTCACTATGTAGCCCAGGCTGGGCTCGAATTTACAGCAATCCTCCTGCCTCAGCCTCCGGAGTGCTAGGATTACAGGTGTGCACCACCACGCCTGTCCAGGAAGAAGTCTTTATGACTTTTACTTAAGCAGTGCTTTTTTAGCTTTAACACCAAAAGCATGAACAATAAAATAAAAAAGTTGATATATTGGACCTCGTGAAAAGGAAAAACGTGTGTCTGAAGAATGTGACGACAAGCTAGTGTGGGGCCAGGTCTGTGGTGACGTAAATATGAGCCAAGGCTCACATTTTTTTTTTGGTACCGGAGAACAAACTTAGGACTTTGAGCTTGCCAGGCCCACATTTAACTTTTTTTGGGTACTGGGGATCGAACTCAGGACCTTGCACTTGCAAGGCAGGCAGTGGAACCGTTGAGCTCAACTAAGTTTGTTCTCCGGTACCAAAAAAAAAAAAAATGTGGGCTTTGGGATGTAGCTCATTGGTACAGCACCTGCTTGCCAAGTGCAAGGCTCTGAGTTTGATTCCCGGTACAAAAAAAATGAAATGTAGTTATTGTATGACTCAGCTCCAGGAGAACTGAAAGCATGTGTCCATGCAAAAACTTTGCACCAAGGGTTAGAGCAACACTGTTGTGAATGGCCTTCAAATAGAAACAGCGCGAGTGTCCATTGAATGGTAAGTGGTAAGCGGAGTGTGGAGGTGGAACATTCCTGGGCAGTAGGAAGAAGTGTTGGTGGGTGTCACAAGGGTGACAGTTGAACACAGTATGCCGTGAAGGTAAAGGCCAGCCGCACAATGTGTGATTCTGTTTGTTTGTGCTGCGCCGTAGGGGAAATAGAGACAATGTAGATTATTGCTTGAGAACAAGGAGTAAGAGGAGGAGGAGGAAGAAGTGACTTAATGAGGTGGGATTTCTTTCGGGATGATGAAAATATTCTGGAATTAGTGGTGAAGGTTGCATAATTCTGTGAATACCTTAAAATCCAGCCGCCTTCAAAGGGTGACCTTTTGGGAACCATAGATCTCAGTAAAGCTGTTACACATGTTGGTTCCAAACTGATGTCGTTTTGCTTAACATTTTTTTAGACAATAATAAACCCAGATTATTTAGAGAGAGATCTTGTGGTTGAAGCTAGGATGCAAAGCTCGGAGATGAGGTTGGACAGTGTGAAACAGTGCTCACTCGTGGCTTCCTTGTCTTGCTCTGCTGGGCAGCCCCTGGACGACAGTCTCATTGCGTTCCGGACCCGCTCCAAGATGCCCCTGAAGGACGTTCCTCTGGGCCAGCTGGAGGCAGAGCTCCGGGCTCCGGACATCACCCCTGATATGTATGACCCCAACACGGCTGACGACGAGGACTGGAAGGTGTGGCTGGGGGGACTCATGAATGACGACGTGGGCAACGAAGGTAAGTGGTTTTGTTTGTCTTTATTCCATGCTGTGTTCGTTATCTCCATGGCAGAATTTTCACTAATTAGAAGGAAGCTCAAAGAATGGGATTGTGGAGGCTGGGGATGTGGCTCAGTGGTGGAGCATGTGCGTTGTACGTTTAAAGCCCGGGCTTAATCCCCAGCAACAACAACGAAAAAGACCGGGATTGTGTCAGAAAGATAGTATCTCACTTTTCTTCTGTTCTTATGCCGTAACTAATACACGGGGCTTCTGCAATCTCTCTTTGTCAGCAAGCGGGCAGTTGTGCAGCTGTAGGTACAGCTGAGTCCTCTGATTCCAGTCAGTACTCCGCACCCTAACACAGACCCAGGTCCCCCAGGCTGTGAGCTCAGTCCCCAGGACTACCAGTCTTCTTTAGGTGCACTTGCCCAAAAGAAGACTGTTACCAGCATTGAGAAGGAAGTGTTGCTCACGTAAAAGCTTGGATAAGTAGAAACTGACTAAACTGGGTCGGTAGTTGAAGCTGGAGTATAGTAAGGCCAAGTGAGTGGACAAAACGACCAAGTGCCCGAATGTGCCTTACCCCATACAGCTAATCATTATTTTGTACATCACTTGGCAAATGATTATTAAGTAGTTTTCTCATGGAGGCATCCTGCTACAGTCTGTGAAAGATAGAAGAGCCTAACCATTCCATCAGGAAATGAAATCTGTGTGAATGACAGAGTACCTGTCCCATTGTTAGGGTTATAAAATACTTATTTTGGGCCAGGGATTTAGCTCAGTAGTGCTGCCACCTGCCTTGCAATCACAAGGACCCAAGTTCAATGCATGGTACCAAAAAAAAAAACAAACTTATTTTATTAATTAAATGTTTTTTTGTACCAGGGATTGAACTCAGGACCTTGCTCTTGCTGGGCAGGTGCCTTGCTGCTGAGCTACATCCCCAGCCCCATTATTTATTTTTTTTAAGAGAGTCTTGCTATGTTATTGCCTAGGCTGGCCTTGATCTCCTGGGCTCATGCCATCCTCCTGTCCCAGAGTGCCAAGTAGGTGGTACTACAGGTACATGTCACCATCCCAGCTTGTGAGGTTTTAGAAGAGTAAAACATAATTCTTGTTTAGGAAGATCAACGATAGCTACATGAAAGAGTATTATATTTCCCGTCACTGAGGCTGAATACTCAATACTACAGCTTTCCTTTAGGAGGGAAAGTTTACTTTGGCTCTTGGTTTCTCAGGGTTCAGTCCATGGCTGGCTGGCTCCAAGGCCAGGGAGACAGAGCTTCTCATTTTTTGGTGACCAGGAACAGAGAGGAAAGGGGCAGGGTCAGATCATACCTTTGGTCACGCTCCAGGACCCACCTGTACACACCCAGCAGTTCCTAACCCAGCCAAGTTGATACCTAAGCTTAATCATCACAACCTTTGAAAGATTTTTGAAAATGGTGACGTGGGGGGGTACTTTTATCTCATTTGTGTCTTTTTTTTTTTTTTTTTTTTTTTTTTTTGGAAAACTCAGGCCTTGCGCTTGCAAGGCAGGCAGGGTGCCACTGAGCTAAAATCCCCAGCCCCCTTTAGTGTCTTTTGTAGCAGTGTGAGCTTTTGGAGTTTTTATTTTTTACCCCTTTGATAATCTGATGAAAACTATACAGCTTTTCTTCCCAAAATTGTGTATATCTATATAGAAAAAAATTTTTGTATGATTTTTTGGGGAGGTTTGCATCTCTCTTGAAGTTTATTTATTGACATTTCTTATTTTTACCAGCTCTTCCAAGGTCTTTGATACCCAGGTTCTAATTCTCTGCACAAACAAGTGGATAGGGCAGCTGGTTATGGTGGCACATGCCTGTAATCCCAATACTTGGGAAGCAGAGGAGGGAGGATTGCCGCATGTGTGCCATGGTGGGCTGTTTGTGTCATTGAAAGCTCTAAAAGGTTCACCATCACTGTTTTTGCTTGTTTTGTTTGTGGCACTAGGCTTTGAATCCAGCCTGGGCTACACGGTGAGCTTAAGGTTGGCCTGAACTACATAGTGAGACCTTGTCTAAAGAAGAAACAGACAAACTCAGGAATATTAGATGGCGTTTATGTAGGGTACAGATTCCAGGGCCTCACTTCATACCTGCTGAATACGAAATGAATGGGTGTAGAATGGGAAAGTAATTCTTGTGTATCTTTTTTTTTTTTTTTGGTACCGGGATCGAACTTGGGTCCTTGCGCTTGCAAGGCAGGCGGTGGAACTACTGAGCTAAATCCCTGGCCCTTCTGTATCTTAAAGAATGAAAAATACTGGCTTTCAAGTCAAAGTGTGTTATAAGGATTGACTGGGTAAATGAACTGATGGCTCGGGGGGGAGAGGGTGAAACCTTTTTCCTTAAAACTGCAGCATGTTTTTGTGTGCCCTTCATAAAAAACACAGCCAATGATTAGAGGGGTGTGGCCTCTTGATTATTTCCTGCAAATAAGACTTTTAGCAACATGTAGATCAGAATGGTAGTAGGAACATGTGAAAACAATAGTCAGGCATATGATGCTATAAAAATAGACCAGCATATGGTGATTGTTTGGTCCTGGGATTCCATATCTAGCATCATTTCCTATTTTTCCAGGCCTCAGTTGATTCAGCTGGTATGTTGTTAAAAGAATCTTATTTGCAGGAAATGAAGAGATAGCAGGAGATTTAGCTCAGTGGCTCCACACCTGCCTCACAAGCACCAAGGTCCTGAGTTCAATCCCTGGTATGAAAAACAGAGATGGTAGTGGAGGGCCATGCCAGCCTGAGATCAGCTGGGTAGGCGCTGGTACTGGGAGTCCGCCTATAATGTAAGGAGGCCCGGAGGGCAGGCTCTGTGAGTACTACAAGCTAATCAGCCCTCAGAAGAAATCTTCCTTAATGGGCTTTCGGCATGTTTGCCAAATGGGTGCTCTGACAGAAATTGGCTGACCTGATGGTGTGGTATGGGCAGAAGCTATCTTTTGGAGTTCTCGCACCCACAGGCACAGGCTATGCCCAGCACTGTCATTATTTGCCGCGTTCGCAAGGAGTCTGTTGTGAAGACTTGTGTAGAATGTGCTGTGGAGGGCCGGGGATTTAGCTCAATGCTGCTACCGCCTATCTCGCAAGTTCAAGGTCCTGAGTTTAATTCCCAGAACAGAAAAGAAAAGGACATGCTGTGGAGATTAGAAAGGCAAGATTCTGTTCCTTAGGAATCAAGGAATTTTGTTTGTTGAGGAAAAAAACCATAATTCATAAAAAAGTTGATATTCAAATAGCTCTGTATAAATAATGCAGATTAATATATCATGAACTGAGTGTAAATTTTGAGTAAAAATTTATCAAGTTGGACTTACTTCACTTAACATTGTGTTCTTGAGGTATCTGTTTTACACATAAATTTCTTTTTTGTACTGGGAATCGAACTCAGTGCCTCACACTTGCCAGGCAGGTACTGTGCTGTTGAGCTACATCTCTGTCCTATACATAATGTTTTTTGAGACAGTCTCCCTTTGTTGTTCGGGCTACTGACCTTGAACTCACAGCAATCCTCCTGCCTCAGCCTCCTGAGTGCTAACATCACAAGCGTGTGCTACTTGAGCGGCTGCTTGCAATGCTAGGCAGAAGGAGCCCTGGAGTTTGAGACCAGGCTGAGCAGCACAGCAAGACCCCATCTGAAAAATAAAATAAAGGCGGGCCGAGGATGTAGCTCAGTGACACCACACCTGCCTTGCAAGCACAAGGTCCTGGGTTCATTCCTTGGTACCAAAACATTTAAAAAAGGAAAATAAGTGTGTATGTATTTTAACAAAAGATGGCCATTTGTTGTGAAAAATTAAAAGATGGAATTGGTTTAAAGTGAGGTATATTAAGTCTTTGTTAATTTCATGTGTTGCTTTATAGGTATTCTTTGTGTATTTAATCAAGCATATATTTATGTCAGATTTGTTCCACAAAAAATAATAATATACATGATCTACATCTGCAAATTTTTTCTTTCACTTAATGATACAACTTAGATATTTTCCATTTGTGACATACAGAAGTCTCTGCTGTTTAATGGATACATAGTAGTAAGGAATTTAGTTTTTTTTTTTTTTTTTTTTTTTTTTTTTTTTTCTTGATACCGAACTTTTTTTTTGGAATCAAACTCAGGACCTTGCTCTTGCCAGGCAGGTCCGGTGCCACTGTGCTACATCCCTGGCCTTTAGTTAGTCTCTTTTTTTTGGTGTGGTCTTTTTTTTTTTTTTTTTTTTTTTTTTTTTTTTTTTATTCCTCAGGTACACCAGCCATATTTCAAGTTCTCAGTAGTCAATGTGGCCAGTGGTTCCTGTATTACGATATATAGAATCTCTGTGAACGTTCAGTACATGGGTGACAAAAGTGTAACATATCACCTTACAGATGTAATAATTACAAAGTGAAAAGCTGTGTTTCTCCGTTATAAGCACTATAAGTGAATAAAAATGTACCAAACGCCTGTTAGGGTAGTGGTAACTTTGGAAGTGCAGATGGGCAAACAACAACAGCATAAATGTGCTTCCTGGGAGCGGATTGTTGGGGCATGGAACGCCTTAGACCAGAGATGAGCATTTGGAGTCGGTCGTGTGAGTCTAAAGCAGTTTTCCTCCCTAGATGAAGCAGATGACGATGATGATCCAGAATATAATTTCCTGGACGATCTTGACGAACCTGATACTGAGGATTTTCGAACTGACCGGGCAGTGAGGATCACCAGTGAGTCCATGTTGTGAGCCCTCCTGTCCTCTCCTTCACGTCTGCTTACGTATACTCTGGGCTTTGGAGGGACTTTCCCAGCCCTCCTGAGTTAAGACATTTACGTTTCCTCTGTTTGTTTGTTTCTCTGACCCTTTCAGTGTACAGTAGGTTAGTACGTATTCAGAAAGCTGTCAGGACTTACTTCTCCGGCCTGCCGTCGTGTGTGGTGCTCTCCCAGCTCGGTAAGCGGTGTCCTTGCTGTACCAGGAGAGTCAGGATGGCCTCTGGCCTGCGCGTGTGAGTGCGGTAAGGGGATGCACGCGGAAACAGCTGTGAGGCAGCGATCGAGGAGTGGCCTGCGATGGAAGGGTCTCGAGATAGACGGCTCGGCCAGGCTCAAAGGAGGAATAAGGGAGTTTAGCAGACGGGGACAGAGAGGGCTATTACAGATAGTAAGACACTATAGTCACTGAACTGGAGAGCAGCCAAAGGGAAAGCAGGGAGTAGTTTGCTGCAGGTGTGAGTAAGTGGTAGCAGGAAAGGTAAGCAGGGTCGGGCATGGGGCTCTTTGGGCTCTCAAGAGTTTTAAGCAGGAAGAAATGATTTGGATTTTGGAAAAATTGCTTTGCTTTCATATAGTTTAATGTATTATTTGGTGGATAAAGAGAAATATTACTTGGCTTTAGATAGGTGTTTAAAAATGTTAGTTACTACTGGCTAGTGTTCCAGTCGTGGGACGCATGTGCGTGGAAGTCACTGACTTTTACTAGGGAGCCGGATCACTTGAGCCCAGGTTTCCCGTCCAGCAGGGCAGCGTGCCAGCCTGCGACGGGCCTGTGCCCGAGGTGTGTACACTGCAGAGAGCGGGCACCAGAAGTGTTTCCTACATGTTTAAGCATAATGCAGATTTCCTGCAGTCCTTTAGGACTCAGTATTCTGTTTTATTGCTTTAATGAAAGCAGTGAAGATGAAATCTTGCGGGGTTTTTTTTGGTACTGGGGATTGAACTCGGGACCTTGTCCTTGCTAGGCAGGCGGTGGCACCACTGAGCTAACTCCCTGGCCCTCATCTTGTTTTTAAAATTAGAGTATCATTTCTTTTATGAAGACCTTCCTGTTATTAATTTATGAAAGTTGAGTTTAGAGGAGGCGTGGACAGGAAAGTACTACATATTGCAGAGAACAGGTAGAGCGAATGGGCTTGAGGTTCAGGCTGGGAGAAAACTGAAGGAGTCCGAGAAGATTGAGTGTCAGACGACTGGGGCCAGGCGTCATGCCCGTCTTCTGCTGGATGTGCAGAGGCAGGAGGTTGCACTGCTGTTCATCTGTCACCCTGGAACACACTTGCTTTCTCTTCCTGTTTGTCTGTTAACTTTCTTCTGCTTTCATCTAACTTCTCAGGAGATCCTTTTCAGCTGGGATTGATGTTCTGTGTGTGTGGGGGGGTGAGTACTCCTGGGGATTGAACCTAGGGCCTTTGCGTTGAGCTACATCCCCAGGTCCCCCTCCCTTTATAGTTTTTGAGAGACGGTCTTGCTGGGTAGGCCATGCTAGTCTCAGCGGCCATCTTCCTACCTCAGCCTCCCAAGTGCTGGGATTACAAGGGTGCACCACCACCCCTGGCCCCAGACCTGGTTTCATTTTTTATTTTGAAATAAGATCTTGCTAAGTCACTTAATTGGCTGAGTTGGGCTTAAACTTGCAATCCTCCTGCCTGTGCCTTCCAGAGTCTTGAAGAGATTATAGACCTGCATCACCATGTCTAGCTTTGTTTTGGTCTTGAGTACCTCTCTATGAGCCTTTTCCATACTGAACTCAAGTTTGCTTTTCATATTCTTTCTGTTTTCCTTTGTTATGGCAAAAATATACTTCCAAATGTGCATATGGAAGTGTTTTTCTTTCTCATGGGAAGCATGCTGCTCTCAGCCCTTCAAATGCTGTGGCATGCAGGCCTCTCTCATCACCCATCTCACCCTCCAGTTGGTTCGAGCATTTATTTTTCTTTAAACTTTTTCTCTGTTACTTTTTTCCTTGTGGTCCTGGGTATAGAACCCAGGGCATTGTGCATGGTAGGCAAGTGCTCTACCATTGAGCTATATCTCCAGCCTTCTCTGTTATGTTTTATTCTGAAATTTTTTACACATGTATAAAGTTTGAAGAATTGTGTAGTGGAATTCTTCTAGTATGTTGTAGCTTCATTTTTTTTTTTTTTTTCTGGTACCAGGGACTGAACTCAGGACCCTGTGCTTGTGCGGCAGGAGGTGGCTCCACTGAGCTAAACCCCCCCCCCTTTTTTTTTGGTACCAGGGATTGAACTCGGGTCTTTGCGCTTGCAAGGCAGGCCACCAAACAACTGAGCTAAATCCCCGGCCCTTCACCCCCCTTTTTTTGAGACACGTTCTTGCTATGTAGTTCAGACTTTCCTTGAACTCGCTGTGTAGCCCAGGCTGGCCTGAAACTCATGGTGATCCTTCTGCTTCAGCCTTCTGAGTGCTGGAATTACAGGTGTGCGCCACCATACCTGGCTTGTTTAGGTGTTAACTTCACACACGTGTTACACAGATCTTAACTGTGCCATTTGCTGAGTTCTGACACACACATACTTGTGTAACCCTAACCCTGTCAGCATATGGAATCATCACTCGTGGAGTTCCTTGTGTCCCTTTCCTGTCAGTCTCTGCCTCTCCCCTCTTTCTGATTGTGATGTCAAACTAAGTCTGTCTGTGTTAGACCTGCATAGAAATACAGTTGGACTGTGTGCCCCTGGGTGTAACGCTTCTTTCACACACTGTAGATTTGAGGTTCAGTCCTGTTTCACGAACATTGATTTACTTCATTATATTGCAAGTATAATTTCATTTTACAGACATACAACAGTGCTGTCTTTGTGTTGCTAGTTGCCTGGGCTCTTTCCAGGTTTGGTTTATCACGAAGAAGGCTCCTCTGACCCCCCCGCCCCCAGAAAAGTTCTGTCTTCCTTTTTGCTCTGTACTCTGTTGGTTAAGACTTCATGCACAGTTGACTCTCCCTTGGGTCATCTGTCTAGGAGAGGAACCATTGGGTCATAGGTTGGAGCATACTTAGTTGTTTTTTTTTTTGTACCAGTGATCGAACTCCGGACCTTGCGCTTGCCCTTAGTTTTATAATTTATGAAAACATAGTTTATCAGTGTTTGTAGGAAGTTGCCAGACCCTTTTCCAAAATTGTTTTCCATCCTACATCCTAGTTAAGAGTTCTATTTGTCCCATCCTCCAAGCATTATATTATTATTATTATTACTAGTAGTAGTAGTAGTAGTAGTATTAGTATTAGTATTTGGTACCGGGAATCAAACTCAGGACCTTGTACTTGTGAGGCAGGTGCGGTTGCCGCTGAGCTACATCCCTGGCCTTGTTGTTGTTATTTTTGTTTTTCCATTTTTCTCCCCAGTGTTCACATTTGACTTGTGAAGGCCTTTCTTTGTTGGTGGTTCTGAGGACTGAACCCCAGGCCCTTGTGCTTGCTTTTTATTTGACATATGGAGACATTTTTGTGGATGTGTTTAGGGTAGAAGGGTATGTGTTGGAGGGAGAGGAGGCAGGGAAGTGAAAGTATTATGTGCAAGGAGAAATGACGGAAACCACCTTCTCCTTGAGCTCTTTGCCTTTCCTTTTCTCTTTATTTTCCTCATCCTCATGATGTGTGTGCCGCGCCCGTGTCTCACCATAAAACGTTCTCACAGTTTGTGGACATTTCACATTAGAACCAGGTCAGCCTCATCCATGTCTTTCCACGTCCTTAGGGTTTTTGTTTGTTTGTTTTTGTTTTTTGAGACAGGGTCTCACTATGTATTTGAGACTGACCTAGAACTCACTATGTAGCCCAGGCTGGTCTCGAACTCACAGCAATCCTCCTCCTGCCTCAGCCTCCCAAGTGCTGAGATTACAGGTGTGCGCCACCATGTCCTTAGGAACATTAAGTCATCACCAGATTCTGTTGCTCCAATAATTTTTTTTTGGTTCCAGTCCTCTCAGAGCCCCAAGCGATAATGGTCTGCTCTCTCTTTTTCTTTTTTTTGGGGGGTGGGATGGGGTTTGATATCATCAGTGTCTGAGAAATTAATTCTCTTGTTACTTTGTGACTTCTCCCTGTGTTTATTATTTTCATTCTCCTTCATCATCTTATATTTTTTCATAACTTGGACATAATATCTCAGGGCAGTCCAAGTTTTTCTCTGGTTCCCAAGTGTCAAGCTCCTCGGAGAGAAAAGCCTTTCCACTTTAGCAGATACTCTGCCCCCGCCGTGCACCTAACATTTTCCTCATCCCCTGGGGAACTGTCTGCTGTCCTCTTGGTTTTCTTTCCCATATCATACACTCTTGCACCTGAAGGACTGGGTCCCATTATAAATGATTGTGGATAGCCATTTTGTTGGTGCATGCTTGTGATCCCTGCTCTGTGGGAGGCTGAGGCAGGAGGACTGCTGGCAAGCCCTTGGGACTGAGAGTGCCCACTCCCAGTAAGGTCTGCCCTCTTCCTCTGTGGTAAGGCTGGTGTCTTCTGTTCAACCTCTTGTGCATGCTTTTTGCTATTTTATTTTGAGACAGTGTTTTGCGAAACTTCCCAGGCTGGCCTTGAGCTTGAGAATTTTCTGCCTCAGCCTCTTGAGTAGCTGAGTACAGACAGGTGTGGGCCACCAGTTTAAGAAGGGCTGTAATGGAGTTTTACTGAGCCAGTCAACTATGAGTTTATCTAATTGTAAAATCATTCACGTGTTGTGCATGTTTTCCCACTAAAATTTAAGCTTCATGAAAGTATAACTCTGTCATCTCATGCTCTGCAAGCATCGAGAGTCAAAGCTGAGGCATAGTTGGTCTTCAGTAAGAATTTCTGACTTGAAGGAAGGGTATTTCTGAGCGTTTTGTAAGATGCCTTACTTGGAGGAGGATACATTGTCTCCATAGAGTTCCCCCTTCTTGCAAAATGAAAACTTTGCCAACAGTGTACTTTTTGTTTTTGTTTTTTTTACAGAAAAGGAAGTGAATGAGCTGATGGAAGAACTGTTTGAAACTGTGAGTAATGATGCTTGAGTGAGTGCATGTGATGAGAACAGATTCTCCTGAAGCTTTGTCCTCTGGTCTGGTTTCTCTTTCCATAGAGGGGGTCTGCCTAGCCATTCCCTTCTTCGTCTACCCATTAGAGAACACAGTAGCAAGAAAATTTCCTGAGCAGGGGAACTCTTGATGATTCATGCCCAGTTTATTCCCAATGAACTTCTCTAGGGGAATATTTGCTCTCCTCCCCTGCTCTCACTTGGTGCATTCTTAGATTATAAGGCAGCTTTAGAGTGCTCTGACCTCAAGGACTTCCTTGCTCATAAAGTTGTCTTTCCAAAGATATTTCCAAGAGGTTGGTGGTTCTGAGTTGTAGGTCAGTCCTCACCATTACATGCTGGCTAGTTGAGAGGGTTTTTTCTTGCATAATAGTCATCCCACGTGTGGCGTTCTGAGCGCAGACCTGTCTTCTCGTGGCAGCATTATTAAGGTCCTGTAGTCTGTAGTTTTCATGAACCCATGCTGCTGCTGCTGTTGTAGCGGCAGTGCCCGCAAGTATACACAGCTCTAATGTTGCAGCTCTGGTGCTTACAGCGCTGGTGTCTGTGGTGCAACTCGGGTAGTCCAGGAGAATGGAAGTCGCACGCAGGAGTCTCCTAGGCAAGGTGTGCAGCTTTATTCTTAATGCAGGAGGGTCCCCAAAGAGATTGGCCCCCCAACTGAGCCAGGGACCTGGCATTTTAACCAGGCATTTCATTGGTTAGAAAGTTACAAGTTTCAATGCTTTATTTAGATCTGGGCCCAGCAATCCTACTGGTTACAGAGTTTCACATAGAATAGGTTCCTTGGTTAACACAGTGCACTGAGTTTCCAACTTATTTGCATATGGCAGAAAGGCAGGAGTAACAAAACTGTTTAAGAACAAGGAAAATTCCTGAGATGTTTGAGGGACCTAGGCCAAGGCTGGCCCAGGCATGTTAAAAGAATCAGAGGAAAGTCATCTTTCCCTGTTAGCAAGTCCAGCTTTAGCTACAGAGAAGTTTATTTCCTTTTCAGAGTGACTTACAGAGGCCTGTTCCCCAGGAAACCCTCCTTTTCTTTGCCTGCAGTTCCAAGATGAGATGGGATTCTCGAACATGGAAGATGATGGCCCAGAGGAGGAGGAGCGTGTGGCTGAGTCTCGGCCTAATTTTAACACCCCTCAAGCCTTACGGTACGCTGGCCACAGATCTTAAGACTTAGAGTGAAGAAAGTGTGTATTTCTGAAAAAGCTTTTGGAAATCACATTGAACAGTTTCTCATCTTCACCTGTCTTCTGTTAATTGTGTAAGGGTGCGGAGCTCTGGAGGGAACGAGGCGGTAAGTGAGAAGTCTCCTTGCTAAGGGGCAGTGCAGCAGCAGACGTGAGCTGCATCTGTTTGGGAAGGGAGAAAAAACAGAAGCTGGCGTCTGATCGAAGCTTCTCCAGGAGAATGGTGCTGGAGAAGTGGTTAGGACTCTATGTGGCCAGCCACAGAAACTACCCGAAATTGTGATAGCTGTTGTCTCGCTTATTTTCCTTATTGGCATTAACATCTGGTCGATGGGACCGAAAGTTTCTTAGTCACCTAGGTATCAATTGAGCAAACTGTGTAGCACCTGCATTAATGCCAGTAGCTGGGAGTGTGTGTACTGACCTTTTCATGTTGAGTTGTTGATTGTATTTGCAGTACTGGGGATTGAACTTATTACAGAGCTATGTTCCCATCCCTTTTTATTTTTTATTGTGAGACAGGGTGTTGCTGAGTTGCCTTGGCTAGGCTCAAACTTGCCGTTCTCCTGTGTCAGCCTCCCAGCGTGCTGGGATTATAGCCTGCACCACAGGTGTGTGCCACCGTGCCTGGCTGAAGCTGGTACTTCTCAAACCCTCCAGAAAGTACAAGCTTTAATTTTCCCCTCTCTTTTTGTGGTGGATTTAGATTCTCTTTTCTCTCTCCTTTCTTTTCTTTCTGTACTAGGGATTGAATCCAGGGCCTGCACACTAACCTACATTCCTGGCCCTTTTTTTCATTTTGAGACAGGGTCTTGGTAAATCGATAATGTTGCCCAGGCTGGGCTTGAACTTCTGACCCTCCTGCTCCTGCTATTACAGGTGTGTGCCCCCATGGATCTGTGCTTCAGTCTCTTGTCATCTGTCATGAGTGGCAGCATATAGTTATTAGATGTGTTTTTGGACATTGAGTCCTTTGACACAGTTATAAATAAAAATTAAAACTAAGCTAAGAAGTGTGAGATGGCAGGCAAAGCTTTAATTACAGAGTAAAGAAAGTGGGGAAGGGAGCTTAGCTTAATAAGAGCTGACTGGGGGGAGGAGGGGGGCGGCGGTGGCTGGGGATTTCGCTCAGTGGTTCCGGCGCCTGCCGTGCAAGCACAAGAACCTGAGTTCGATCCCCAGTACAAAATAAATAAATAAATGAATGAAAAATAAATAAATAGCTGCAGTGGGAGCATGGCTCTGATGAGAAGATTGGGCTGGTCTATTCAGAAAGGAAAGGAGCCAGGCAGCTGCTGCTTCTGCTTCTGTTTTATTGTTGGTTTTTGCTTTTTTGAGACAGGGCCTTGAACTCAGTATGTAGCCCAGAGTGGCCTCAAACTTGTGCCGATACTCCTGCCTCAACCTCCCACGTGCTGGGATTATTGGCAGAAGCTACCATGCCTAGCTAAGGGGCCAGCCTTTTTTTTTTTTTTTTGAGGGGGGCAGCTTTTATGGGGCTGTATTAAGTCATGAGTATGAAATTTCTTAGGAATTTCTTCTTGTTTTAAGAGATTTCTTCATTTTGTAAGATTGATCAGCGCTTATCCTTGGAGACATCATGGTGCCCCTGCTCTTCCAGCATACCTGGTCCTTGCAGTAAGAGTCGCAGGATGAGGAAGGGCGCATTCCATACAGTGTTGGTAGAAAGATAGGTTTTCATCTCCAGTGGATTAAGGCTTGGGACTCCCTCCATCTCTTCTCCCTGTGAAGTTTCCTGTTGTTTCTGCTGGGTGGCAGAGGGTTGGGACATAGCAAAGCCCTGCAGCCTCTGTGAGTCCTGTTTTATTTTAAATTTTTTTTTATTTTGGTACCGGGGATTTATTTTTATTTATTTATTTTGGTACTCAGGACCTTCTGTTTATGAGGCAGGCGGTGGCACAATTGAGCTAAATCCCCAGCCCTAGTCCTATATTTTAATGTAGCAGCACCACCTAGGAAGACAGCTTGGGGGACCTATCAGGAAGCTAGACTTTAGGCACCTGCATTTCATTGAAAAGGACATGCTAATCAGTGTGTACAAACCAGAAACACCAGTCATGCTCTGTTTTAACAAATACCATAGTAGAGCCCGGGATGGGCATAGTGGTGCAAGCCTATAATCCCAGCACTTGGAGGCTGAGGCTGGAGGATCACTGTGAGTTTGAGGCCAGCTTGAATTACATAGCAAGACCTTGTCTAAAAAAAATGAAAACAAAAATTTCTCTTAAATTCATATATTTTTTTGCACTCAGTAGATTACTTGGGCTGCTGTTGCTTCTCTCTCTCTTTTTGGGGGAGAGGTACCTGTCGAGCTCAGGAGCTTGTGTTTGTGAGGCAGGTGGTCGTACCACTGAGCTAAGCCCCAGCCTTGCTTCTCTTTCAGTTACAAATGCAGACCTGCTTTAATTTTGTGTGTGTATGTGTGTGTGTGTGTGTGTGTGTGTGTGGTAATGGAGATTATTGAACCCAGGACCTTCCCACTGAGCTACATCTCCAGCCCTTTTTGTTTTTTATTTTGAGATAGAATCTCATTAATTTGCTAAATTGTCCAGGCTAGACTTGCTTTGCATTCTTTCCGCCTCAGCTTCCAGGAGTCTGGAATTATAGACATGTACCTGTCTCTGTGGCTGTATTGTCTACTTCATCATGCTATCTTGCTCTTTTTTTTGGGGGGGGGTGATAATAGCATAGATAATCAAGGCCTTTTATTTCTTAGGTCATGCAGCTCTACCTCATTTCCCACCCATTCCTTAGAATCGAAATGCCTAGCACTAGCATGTTATACCATAACTTCAGTAAATACTGCAAAAAATACAATGAAAAAAAGCATCACCTGGCTGGGGATTTAGCTCAGTGGTTCTGCTCTCTGCCTTGCAACCATAAGGACCTGAGTTCGATCCCCAGTACCCCCTGCAAAGCATCACCTTCTTCCCCAGGGGGCATTAGAACGGTTTGTCATGTAGCTGGGTGTGGTGTCACACACCCAGGAGTTGGAGGCAGGAGGCTGGGCTGCAGGTCCTGGACTGGCCTGGACAACATAGGGAACCCGAGACCCTGTCTCAAAGACAAGTACAACACCTGGGTGTGGTGGCCCACCATTGTGATCCCAGCACTGTGGGGATGCTGAGGCAGGAGCTTCGCTGTGAGGTCTTGGCCAGTGGCCAGCGGCCAGCATGGGCTGACTGGTGAGTTCAAGGCCAGCCTGGACTGTGTTTTGAGATCTTGTTAAACAAACAAAAACAACCACCACCACCACCACCACCACCACCACAACAACAACAAAGTTATCATTTGAGCCAGGGATGTAGCTCAGCAGCGCAGCACTTGGCTGGCAAAAGTGCAAGGCCCTGAGTTTAATTCCTAGTACCAAATAAGAAAAGAAAATAAAAGTTATCATTTAACTATTACTGCGCTATACCCGACTGTAAATATGATAACCTGTAGTCAGAGCTATGTCAGCGTGTTTTTCTCCTGACCGTGTAAGCTATCAGTGTGTGCTTAATCTTGTTCTGCTTTTACTTAAGAACTAACATGCTAGGATCAGGAGTGGTGGTACATACCTGTAACCCCAACATTCTAAGAGGCTGAGGCAGGAGGACACAAGTTGAAGCTCAGTCTGGTCAATTTAGGGATGTAGCGAGACCCTGCCTCAAAAAACAAAAACAAAATAAAACTAACATGCTAGTGCTAGATATTTGGATTCTGAGGAATGTGTGGGCAGTTAGAATTTGAGGACTTTAAAAGGCTAAAAGAAGGTATTTCCATGGAGGATAGTGTGGTAATATTTGAATTAACTTCTCTAATTTACCACATATTTTAGCTTATCTTCTTTCTGCTTTATTCTCCAAGGGCCTTGACTTTAAGAAAGGAAAGCAAGGCAGCCTGAATGGATGGATAGGGAGGTAGAAGCTGGACTTGGGATGGGAGTAACAGGGAAATTAGAGAACAGATGCTGTATCTCTGGAAGACTCCTTATCACTGTGAAGAACAAGTCAGAGAGGGTCGGGGATGTAGATCTGTGGTGCCACCACCTGCCTCGCAAGTGCAAGGTCCCAAGTTCGATCCCCGAACAGGAGCAAGTCGCACAGTGATAATGTGGGTATCAGTGGATGTGGGTGTGATGAGTTCTCACAAGCTCCTTGGTTGCTCTGTTACTCACATGTTTCTCTTAGATGTTTGATTTTCTCTCTGTTGTATCATTAGAAGAGCAATCATGGAGAAATAGAATTATTTTATTTTTTTTGGTACCAGCAATCAAACTCAGGACTTGGTGCTTGCCAGGCAGGTTTGGTGCCACTGAGCTAAATCCCTCGCCCCCAGAATCATTTTGTTTCTTCCTAGTGCTAGGGATCATACACAGGGCCTTGCACATGCTACACAAGTGCTGTAACACTGAGCTGTATTCCTAGCCCCAGAATCCCTTTACTTGTGTCTGTACTAACAATTTGGAGGAAGCATTTGACTAAGCAGTTTTTTGGCTAAAGTGGGGTTTGGGGATTATCAGCAAATAGATGCAGTCCAGGCTTTCTTAGTGCACCATGGGAAGGAATCAGAAGTGTTGCGGACCCAGGGGAATGTCCACATTCAGTTATTTCCCTGTTGAGGTAGGTTTGAGGAGCCATTGGCTAACTTACTAAATGAACAACATCGAGCAGTGAAAGAACTACTTGAGCAGCTGAAGATGAAGAAATCTTCAGCCAAACAGCAACAGGAGATGGAGAAGCTTAAGCCTCAGGCTGAGAGAGTTCATCAGACTCTGATTCTAGACGCAGTGCAGAGGAAGAGACTCCAGCAGCAGATGCAGCAGGTAAGACCCTCCTGGCACTGATAATACTGGTTGTCTTATGGCCTGACACTGAAGCCCAAGACGAGCAGCTCTCTAGGAGTGTGAGCAGTGTGCTCAAAACTTGCTCCCTGACCCCAGGCTGTCGGATTCATACCAGTTAGGACCTTGAGCGAGCTCCTCTCTGTGCCTGTGACTCTGCACAAGGATCCCCCATAGTATGAGAACGGGAGATTTCACCGAGTCCTTAGCAAGTGGTTCTAAAATTGAATAGCCTTCGCTGCCAGGCACACTTTTTACTAGCTGCTCTGGTTGGAGGCTAAGCATTCTGGTGGTCTGTCTTTTTGCTTGAGGGAACATAACTGAAAATGTATGTCCAGTTTCCCCAGAAGGCAAAATAAGGGTGCTGAATTTATAGACATCTTGGTAAGCTCTCTCTGTGATTCTGGAATGGCAACATCATAACATGTCAATGTTTTCTTTCCCTCCTCAGCATGTTCAGCTCTTGACACAAATCCACCTTCTCGCCTCCTCCAACCCCAACCTCAGTTCAGAGGCCAGTACCACCAAGATATTTCTTGTAAGGTTCCAAATGTCACTAATGCGAAAGATTTGACTATGAAATTAGCTTGGCAACTCATTTCTCATGTTATTCAATGATCATAATTTTTATTTTCTCCTTCATGTTTTTGGTTGTGCCTACTTTGTTTTATGGCTTCCTTTGTTTATGTTTACTGCCACAACATAAGCGAGTGATTCCCATGATAGTATATTCAATTTTCTTTTCTTTTCTTTTTTTTTTTTTTTTTTTGAGATAAGGTCTTGCTATATAGTCCAGGCTGGCCTTGAACTCAATCCTCCTGCCTCAGCCTCCTAAGCTGAGATTACAGGTGTGTGCCACCATGCCTGGCTTCAGTTTTCTTAGTACTATCTTACTGGCCATTTTTTTTTTTTAAGGTGAACTCGGAATTTGCAGTGAGCTATATCCCCAGCCCTGTTTTATTTTTTATTTTGAGATAATGGTTCTGCTAAGTCATTAAGTTGCCCAGGGTGGGCTTGAACTTGTGATACTTTTGACATTTTTATTGTATCTTTCTCTTTTTGTCCTGTCTTTGGGTCTACCTGATTTATTTTTCTTTCTTTCTCTCTCTCTCGGGTTTTTTTTTTTTTTTTTTTTTTTTTTTTTTTTTTTTTTG